CAATTTTCAATTCAATCTTGTTACAAAAAAACAAAGACTGTACACGGTTTTCCACTCAATTCAAACATGTTAAAAAATCAAAGTCCATGAATTTTCACTCAAAAATTTTGATCAAAAAAATTTTGAGAAAAAAAAATTTGGGAAAAAAAATTTTGAGAAAAAAAAATTTGACAAAAAAATTTTGCGAAAAAAAATTTTGGAAAAAAAAAATTTTGGTCAAAAAAATTTTTGAAAAAAAAAATTTGGTCAAAAAAATTTTTGGTCAAAAAAATTTTGGTCAAAAAATTGTGGTCAAAAAAATTTTGGTCAAAAAAATTTTGGTCCAAAAAACTTTGGTCTAAAAAATTTTGGGAAAAAAAATTGGGAGAAAAAAAAATTGAGAAAAAAATTTTGGTCAAAAAAAATGTGGTCAAAAAAATTTTGGTCAAAAAAATTTTGGCCAAAAAATTTTGGTCAAAAAAATTTTGGTCAAAAAAATTTTGGGAAAAAAAATTTTGGAAAAAAAATTTTGGTCAAAAAAATTTTGGTCAAAAAAATTTTGGTCCAAAAAATTTTGATCAAAAAAATTTTGGGAAAAAAAATTTTGGGAAAAAAAATTTTGAGAAAATAAATTGGGGAAAAAAATTGGGGAAAAACCTTGGACTTTGATTTTTTTAATTAGAGAAAAATTTTGGAAAAAAAAATTAGGGAAAAAATTTTGGGGAAAAAAATTTGAGGAAAAATTTTAGGGAAAAAAATTTTGGAAAAAAAATTTTGACGAAAAAAATTTTGGCGAAAAAAATTTTTTTTAGAAAATTTTGAAAAAAGATTTTGGGCAAAAAAACTTTAGAGAAAAACCATGGACTTGGGACCTTGGGACTTGAAAAACATGAACCTTTGATTTTTTGGGGAAAAACACGGACTATGGTGTTTGAATTTTTGGGAAAAAATTTAGGAAAAAAAAATTTTGGGAAAAAACCATGGACTATAAGTCTTTGATTTTTTGAGAAAAATTTTTTTGGAAAAAAAATTTTGAAAAAAAAAATTTTTAGTAAAAAAAATTTTGGAAAAAAAAATTGTGAAAAAAATTTTGACGAAAAAAATTTTGAAAAAAAAAATTGGCAAAAAAAATTTGGGGAAAAAATTTTTTAAAAAAAAATTGGGCAAAAAACTTTGGGAAAAAACCATGGACTATATTCTTAGATTTTTGGCAAAAAAAAAAACTGGGAAATTTTTTTTAAAAAAAATTTTTGGGAAAAACCATGTACTATCCTTTGACTTTCTGGGAAAAAAACATAGACTATAGTCAAAAATTCTTTAATTTTTGTGGAAAAACCATGGACCATAATCTTTGACTTTTTGTAAAAAAATTATTTGAAAAAAAAAAATGGAAAACAAATTGGGGAAAAAAAATTAGAGAAAAAATCGGGAAAAAATTGCTGGAAAAAAATTTTGGGGGAAAAAAATTGGCGGAAAAATTTTAGGGAAAACATTTTTTTGGAAAAAAAAATGGGGAAAAACCATGTACCATAATCTTTGATTTTTTGGGGAAAACCATGGACTTAGTTCAAAAATTTTTTTTCAAACATTTTTTCCAAATTTTTTTTTCCGATTTTTTCTCAAAAAAATTTTTTTTTCAAAAATTCTTTTCTAAAAATTGTTCCTAAAAAATTTTTCTTCAACATTTTTTTCAAATTTTTTTTTTCAAAAATGTTTCCCTAATTTTTTTTTTCTAAAAAAATCATTTATGGCTTTTCACTCGAATCAAAACATGTCAAAACATCCACATTTTTCACTCAATTCAATCCTGTTGAAAAATTCAAAGACTGGCCATGGTTTTTCACTTCAATTTTCAATTCAATCTTGTTACAAACAAGCAAAGACTGTACACGGTTTTCCACTCAATTCAAACATGTTAAAAAATCAAAGTCCATGAATTTTCACTCAATGCAATCTTGTTAAAAAATTTACATTTTTCACTCAATTCAATCTTGTTAGAAAATCAAAGACTATACTCCATGAATTTTCACTCAATTCAATCTTGTTAAAAGAGCGTATTGACTGAAAAATGTATATTTTTTGCCATGTTTGAATAGACTGAAAAGCGAGGACTATAACACTGCTTTTTTAACCCTTTGAGAACAAGCGCCGTATATATGTGTTTTACGCAAATTATCAAACTGGCCGAAGAATTCATATATGCATTTGACAAGGGTAAGGTGTATATAAATATAATATATGCATATGTCTAGAATTTGAGTATGAATACTTGTATTTGAGTTAGTGCTAGAAATATGCGTGGGCAATTTTAAATGACTATCGTGGCAGTAGCTTGGCAACATCTTACGGTTCACTTCAAACTGTCCCGTTCCCAAATGGTTAACAACCGGTCCACGTTCCGGCGCAAGCCTCTGAGTCAGAGGTTCGCGCCTATTCAAAAATGCAATTAATGAAACACAAACTTACCTTGTTTAACTAGTGCAGCATATCCCATTCAAATAACCCAATAAACATGCAATGTTGTTGGCAATATTGTAAGTATATCATATGTCAATGTGGATGCTGTAACAAAATAAATATTAATATCTCTTATTTCTGGCAATATCTAATATATCAATACCTTTTGCGTAGATTATATTTGTATGTTACAACACCAATTTTGAATGATGTAATATCAAGCAAGTGTTGAAATTTTACACCTGTAATCAAATAACTGCATCTATTTGTATCATTTCAAAATAAATCAATTCCAAATCTGAGGAACACTATCCATATCAAAATATTAATATTTATTCATATAAGCATTGAAAATCAATGTTATATTAATACAGACACAAAATATAATCTAAGATTTAATAACTTAGTTTTTTAAACAGTGCAATAACTAGTTCTTAGTAATACAATAATTCAATAAACTTTAAACATTTATTACAAACTACGAGCATTTTATTATCAATAATATATAGTCATATATAATAATAATATATAGACAGTAATATCAATTAAGTCAATCTTGCGCATATATATATATGTGCAAGATTGACTTAATTGATATTACTGTCAAGAAAAGAAAAGAAAAAAACAGAAAACTGAAAGCAGGATCAGGAGGCATGGAAGCAAAAGTTTGAAAAAAAAATTCATAAAAAATTTATAAATAAAGGGAAATACTGGTAATGAGAATGATAAATGAGGAAGGAAAACTCGCACCATTGACTTGCCTTCAGACAGACTACCGTTTATTATTATTATTATTATTATATATGTATGTATGTATGCATGTATGTATGTTTGTGTATATATATATTATATATATATATATATATATTACATATGCATATATAGATTTGTGCACATTTGGTTTCCAATTATTCTGTTTTGAATGTAATATTTAAAATAAGATCTAATAAAACAAATTTTATAAAAAAAATTGATATTGATTTTATTTAAGCCATATCCAATTGTGCATGCCCAACATTATATTTCTCTCTACAACTATTTTCATTATTTTATGTAAATAATTTCAGTAAAATACATTTGTAATTACCTGTTATTTTTCTTTTGATATTATGTTTCACACAAAATGCAATATCAACGTTTTTATTCTATTACACCAATAATTAATATATCTCATAATAGTACTCTAATTTACATATATTCTGTATATTTATGTTTTCTTATACATTTATATAATATATATCTGAAACTTTAACATATAGTTAGTTTATCGAAATAAAACTCTCCTTGTTGTTAAACATAAATTGGACTCCAATTCATTTGGCTTTGAGTTATATCTGACAATAATCATTTTTGGTACGCTTCTACTGAATATATAAATTTTATTTTTGAGATAGAATGTATTATGTAAATATTACCTTACCTATTTTTTATATCTTAAACACACAAATGGCAACATGAAATAATGCAATGCTAATGTTAAAATGATGTATTAATGATCATTGGCACATTTTAACTGAATGAATTATTAATACTAACTTTCTAGAAATTTTTATAAATCGTTAAAAATGTAATCAAATATAAGTATAATTTGAGCATATCAATTCATAAAATTTTCAAAAATAATTAAGAGTTTCAAATTGCTTTATATTTGAACACTATTATTAGTTATATTGCTGAAATAGATATTTCATTTTCAAAAACAATAAATAAAAATATCATCCTCAGTCAATGTCATACAAAGTAAAAAAAGATTTTGAAAAAGGACAAGACATTTAGACATAAAAATTAAATTTGTTATTAAAATAAGAACAGTTTTTCTATGTAATTTCTTTTCAAACAACGCTGTGATGTTCGTGAACAGCTTTTTGTACATTCTGTTCATCATTGTTTAACTATAATTTAATAAATTTTCAAGATTTGTTATAATTTAATTAGTATTGAATCAAATCTTTCTTAGGATTGCATATTAAATAACTCATCATTTGTAAAATACAGTCATAAAATTATTGCAATACATTTAAAATTATAAACAAACTGATAGAAATTGATACATATGGGCATACTGTGCTCATATTAGTCAAATTAAGCAAATTTATAAGATGTAACTTAAAGACAACTTCAAACATAACTCAAAGAGCGATTATCTCAGTTGAATGACAGTACGAAAAGTTATATAAAAAATGATAGCTTACAGATCTTGAAAAAAGACCTACTGCCGCACAAATTATGAATATTTTGCAAGCAATTAAGAACTTAGAGTTCCAATATAATTGATTTTATTGAGATTATACAATAAAAACAATTGTATCTATAGATAGAACAAAATATTAGATATTCTCTAAATAAAAAATAATCAAAAATATTGTTTTACATGTACTTACAAATACGCATATGTATCTCACATGTAGCTAAATAATATCAGTGATACCTAATATTAAAAAACTGAATTCATTTCGCTTCGCATAAAATTCAAAGATTTTAAAAAGCATATAATAGTATTAAATAAAATATTAAGAAACACTGATATGTGAACTGAATAAGAAAGTATTTCTACTTTACCGCTGATGTTCAATAACTCTCAATTTTAATTTAGATTCCATTCAAATGATGTATTCTCGATGTTCCGCATATGTTACGTTATTAGCAAATAAATTGTTAAGCTTTTTTTAGGCTTTGTAGCGATCGTTTCGTTTGATCGCACAGCAAAGTACGACAGAGAAAATCAATCCAAGTAATTCCAAGACGGCGACACCAATTGCAATGCCGATTACCCAACTCATATGGTCTCGAATTGTCTCAACCAGCTTGTCAATGCAACCCTGAGAAACGAGAAAATACATATTAGACTTAGTAACGTTTGTAAATTTATTCAAGTAAATAAATATTTTGCCTTAAATATAAATTATTGAATTATTAATTAATTAAACTCGTTATCTAACAATTTATTTTTTCCAGAGACGGTATTGACCTCATCAGCTGATTCTTATGTCAACCGTGATTTTACCACACAGTTAATATCCCAGGAAATATCAACTATTTGAGCGGTAATTATTTTGGTTTTTATTATATATGAATAATCTCTTCAATTCTTCGTACATTGTACTAAATACACATATTTTAAATAAATTTCTAAAAACTCTCATACTATTTTTATTGATGTAGCGCCCGACTTGTAAACTCAAATAAAATTCATATATCAATATCTAATTCAAGACTATTCAAATATATATATATATATATATATATATATATATATATATATATATATATATATATATATATATTGAATGATAGAGTCTTGGATTTGTGTATATTTTGTAGAGTTTCGAACAAGAATCCAAAAATAATACAAAATAAAAAACAAGAAAAGTTTTTAAAAAAAAAACAATTTCTTTATTTAATTATTTGTTTATTGTCGACGTTTCGGAACTAGGTACGTTCCATCTTCAGGACATCTGTCAAGAAACATGATGTTGATGAGATTTTATCAAACAATATGTTTAGGAAAAGAAAATAGATTTTTCTTAAATAATGAATTAATTGCAAAAAAATATAATAATGTACAGAAATATGATAATATGTTCAAAATGAAAATGATAAAAATGATAAAAATAAATGAGTGGATTATCAGAACAGGATATTAAACATAATAGAAAATTTTTTGAAAGTTATGGAAATATTTTTTAAGAAAAGGTTAATGACAAAGTTGAATTAATTACCTGTATGTTTGAATGTTTGTTAGCACTTTTTCACTAAACAAGCTTTTTTAACAAAAATGAATTTGTGAGTTAATTTTCCGCCGAATAATTGGATTTTGTAAATCAAAATTACTAAAAGATTTGTCTTTTTTAAAATTATTATTTGAAAACACAAATAATATTGTTCTCTGGATGTTGTTCGATTGGCTTTTGAAAATTAACTAATTGAAACTGGTGTGTCCTTTGTAACACGTGTAAACACTTGAACGAGAGATGTGAGATTGTATGTGTGTGTTTTTATATGTTAGGGTGTGAATACTTAAATTGTTGATCTTAAAAAGAAGTCGATATTAATTGTTTGTCAAAAAGTGTAAAAAAATTAAATATGAATCATGTAATAGGTTGTGATCTGATCTAATGTTGACACTGTTAGAAACATTTATGAGAATGAGACAACTCTCCGCGAATAACCTTCTAAAGATGCAACTTTCATGATATAAAATCTTTGGAGTGAAATTAAATGAATAGGCGTTTTCTATAGAGTGTTGTACTAGGGTACTTTTGAAATTTTTTTGTTTATGGTGGACCACACTTAGTTCATGTTGTCTCATTCTCTTGTGTACATATTGGGAGGTTTGTCCAATATATTGAAAAGCACAGTCATTACAAGAAACAGAATATACTACATTAGTATTGAGATTGGATGGGGTAGGGGATTTAATGTTCGTAAAGAATTGGTTGAAGGAGTGTAAGGATGAGCCTGATACTAAAATGTTTTCTTCTAACAAAATTTTGGCAAAATAATAATATAAATCTTCAACGTATGGTATGCTGCAGTAAATAAGATTGGTGTTTTTGATGTTAGTACTGGTATTGGGAGAATTAATTTGTGTTTTTAAGAAAGTTCGTCTTTTTTGAATAACTGAATGAATGAGATTTTTTGGGTAACCATTTTCAATTAGAGTTATTTTTACTAGGGATAAATTTTGTGGATGGAAAGTTTGGTGAGACAACAAAATAGCATGGTCTGTAAGGGAAATAATAGTGTTTAACTTATAGTTTCTGGGACAGTATGAGGAATAGTGTAAGTATCTACCCGACCATGTAGTTTTTCTATACCAATTTGTTCGAATAATGTTATTAGTGTTGTAAACGGATACATCCAAGAAATTAAGTCTGTTGTTATTTTGTAGTTCATGTGTGAAAATTATATTATTGTTAAAATTATTGAAGAGATCTAGTACTGTGTTTATATGATTTTTGTTAATGATAAAAGAAGTGTCATCTACATATCTAATATAAAAGTTAATTTGAAATTTTAAAGTTGAGAAAACGGAAATTTCTAGTGTTTGTAAAACTAAGTCGATGATTCCGGGAGATAAGGGACATCCCATAGCTGCGCCTTTAATTTGAGAATAAAAGTTGTCTTGGCAATGGAAATAGGAGTAATTTAAAATAGTGTTGATAATATGAGTGAAGACTGTTTTCGGAAAGTCAGTAAAGTTACAAATTGTGTGCCAACGTTTATCGATTGAGTTTAGGATTAATTCATGTCGGACACATGTAAAAAGGTTGACCACATCTAAGCTTAGAAATAAGTGATTTTCAGGGATGTTGCGGTTATTAATTAAATTCACAAATTGGTACGAATTTTTGACATAATAGGGAGAATTGATTGTAACATTTTTTAGGACATCAGAAATGAGTTTCGAAATATTGTAAAAAGAAGAGCCAATGTAGGAGACAATCGGTCTGAAAGAGCATTCAGGTTTCTGTATTTTTGGAAGACAGTACATCTTAGGGGAGATAGGGTGTTGTATTTTTAGGTTAAAAGCAAAATTCTCAGAAATTAGTTTTTTGTTTTTCAGATCATTGATTAATTTAAAAGCTATTCTAGAAAAACGTTGTGTGGGATCTTCTGTTTCTTGTTTTTTATTTTGTATTATTTTTGGATTCTTGTTCGAAACTCTACAAAATATATATATATATATATATATATATATATATATATATATAAAGTACAGTATATATGAATAATTTCTTGGAGGGCGTGGCGTAATATCAAGTGAAAAAAAAGTGCGCGTATTTATATAATGATAAATTATAAATTATATACAGTAGGCCCTCGCTTTACACGGCACTCTGGGTACACGGTTCCCATACTACACGGAGCTAAAAATCCGACAGCCCTCCGACTACACGGACTTCTTATTACACGGTATTTGGTCAACAACCCATAAGTTCGTTGTGCAAAAGGGTATTGATGTAAATTTTGTTATCGACTTTTATCTTTTAGACATGCCTGATTGTATAATAGCCGCCTAAGAACACGTTTGAGCTGACTACTGCCTCGCGCCAATTTTTCAATAAGGTGTCAATGTCCTACATATCATTTCGTCCGTATTTTTCCTACTTCAAGTTGTATTTCTTGGTCTCCATACAACGCGATAAAAATGGTGCGATTTGTACCAACTCTGAGTCTCTCATAGCACGGTTCCCATACTGCACTATGTAAGGTTCCATAGAACGCACTACGAATTAGCCTGAATTGTATGTTAAATACGAGTTTCTTATAGCACGGTTCCTATACTGCACGGTACGCACTTGCCGCATAAAGCGGAGGGTTTACTGTATTTATAATTGCATTAAAAATATGTATAATATTTAAAAACTATAATGTAATAAAAGTCATACTTCAAATATGACATGATCGTTTTGTCATTGAAATTAGCATTTAGAAATGAACCTTCATTAGAGAAATGAAGTAATTGCTGATTAATAAATTCTATAATATTCGTTCACACAGTGGATTATATGTTTAACAACGCCTAAACAAATATTGTTTTCGCGACTTCACTAATCATGTCATAATTGTGTTTGAAGAACTTCATGTAATTAAAATTAACATACATTCATTGATTGCTTGTATTTTTTTTTACTTTTTCGCTGGCGAAATAATCTCATTCTTTGAACAGCTGTAATATCTTTGCCTAAACAATATTTTCCATTTTAATAACTTCAAAGATTTATAGAAACTACGAATAATATAGAAATAATTTCTAATCAATAAACTTACGCTTAGTTCACGGCACAAATATTTGATTTGTTTTATTATTTTCAAGGAACAGGTAAAAATTCAGGCATTTTTCATTAAATCAAGATTTGTACTACGATGTAACTTTAAAATGTTTATTTATCTATGCAGATTTCCTTGTTGATATCGGTACGCATACAACGACAGATCTCTATTCTCATACACGACGTATAATCACAATCGACCCGTACAGAAATGATTTCATCGAGAGCGAATGACGAATCGGCCGTAACGCACTTCCGTTACATTTGTACGGCTTTACACCCTAGTCGCGCCTAAAGATGTTTTACTTCAAAAATAATTTATGTAACAATTTTTAATACATCATTATTTTTCCATACGTTTCGACTTAAAATTCTACGTCATCATCATCAGTGATGGTTCTACAATTTTGAAAAAAAAAACAGGAAAAGTAAAATTAAAAAATAATTATAAACAGAGCAAACAAATATAACTAAATGAAAATACTAAATATCAAAATCTTAAAGAGTTACAAAAAACAATACTCACTTGACCAACACTAATACATAGTAAGGACACTAAACATGCACTTAAGTAATTTATAATTGGAAAAAAGCACTAAATATGAAATGAAAGATATCGATCATTCAAATCATTTTTAATTTCTGTAAAAGTAGTAAATGTGCAAAGTGAACATTTTTGAAAAAACTTATATAACTTATATATTATATTATAATTAAACATACTAAAAAATAATATAATAAACATAAAGTTTACCACATTCAATTCATATAAATAAAATCAAATAATTTTTGTTGCTTCGAAAATGATTACAAAATTCAAATTGTTTTTCATATTTTCCGTTTTTCATTTGCATGAACCTTTTAGATTTTGAGCTATATTGTAAATGTAGACGTATATTCCACGATTAAGGCCATGTTTCTGGTTAAAATTAAGTGCTAATAGAATGTAAAATCTGAATAATTTGTTACAACTGCTATCGGACTGCGTTTGAAAAATATTTCGAGCTAGTTATTCGCGGCAAAATCCATTACGAATTAATCTGTTGCAAATGTACAACATTAATTGTAAATCAAAAATCTGTAATATCATTTTTATATAAAAAATCAATATTTAAATAAAATTAAAATGAACTAAAATTTGTAACAAAAGTCGTTTTTATCTCATTCGTAACATTACACGAAATATGTATACAAAAAAAACTCTAATGTTCAAGAAATATTAATGAAATTTTGTTGGATCGCCTGGGACACCAAAACTCAACATTTATTGGCCATTTTGTTATAAATTGCTGAGTCGCCTAGTTGCGTATTATTCTTAAGGAAATTCTTTACTACACCACTAATAAATTACATTAATAAATATATAAATTTAATGATACTTACAGAAGAATTGATCACTGGATTGAGATATGCTGTAATGCCAGCTTTACGGCTTTGATCGCATACTAGTTCTGAAACATCGGCTTTGCAGCAACTTGGTGGCATGTTGTAGATAGCCAAGTCTGATGTTACTTTCAAATTGATACTATTGGCATCGGCACCGTTGTAGCGACTGCGAGCCCAATCCTGTGGGCCACTAGCTCCACAGCAGTGCAACTACAAATGATCAATCTTTGGTCATCAATTTGGACGCATGGTATGATCACCGATTATTTATCTAAATTCCGCATTTGTTCAAATCTACTGGCCAATAAACACATACACTATATACACAATATCAAATTTTAGTTTTTTGAATTATCAAAATCGGTTCAAAAAGCGTTGACGAAAAATTTTGCACTTTTCGTCGATTTGCAAAACTAATCAATACGAGTCCATATCGAGTTTTATCAAACATTTACATTTACTCTTTACATTTATCAAATCGGTTCAGCGATTTTTTTAATATAACATACACCAAAGGACAAATTTTGGTGCATATTTACTCACATACACAAACATCTTCCAAATTTGGTGTCAAATGATTCATAATGACTGAAACATCGAGAAAACACAATTAGTAAACATGATTTACTGGCAAAAACTTCTCTTCCGGAAGGTTAATATAAAAAATCAAAATTATAAATAATAATATTTCAAATAATAATAATATTATTTCTTGTTACTAATTTTATAAAAAGGTAAATTTTATACATGACTCACAATCAGTATAAAGCATATAAAATCTAAGCGAAGTGGGCGCATGGCATCGTGCCTTAAGGCAAATTGCTGGAACTTCCCGTACCAAACATTATTATTTTTTTCAAGATTAACATTGTTGAAAAAAATTGACTTCGAAGAAATTCGATTTTTCGATTCGATTTTTGAGAAACTATAAATTTGACAAAAAATTACTTTTTTAAAAAAAAAATTTTTTTGAAAAAAAAATGTTTTCTTTATTTTGACATATTTTGGAAATTCGGAACTTTTCTTCAAAGCAATCGTACTGCTTTAACTGCATGGAGACGAAATGTCAAAGCGCGTAGGCGCCGCGTCGTCGTCTAACGGATAAACATTGGTACGAAACCCATAGGAATTTAAACAAAATTTATACTTATTATTAAAATCTCTGTAAAATATCTGATAATTTGATGTGCATACGTTTAATGATCATTTTGACCGCCAAATGGCATTTTTTTTACTTTTTTCACTAGATCTCCGAAACCGCTAGACCTGCCTTCAAGAAAATTTGATCAATTCTTTATCTTGTCAATACAAGTAAAATGTTTTTTTGAATTATTGAAATCGGACGCTCCGTGCTCTTAAAAACCGAGTTACCATTTTTGGCACTTTTTGCCCTATATCTTCGAAATGGCTGGACCTGCCTTCGCCAAAAACTAATCAGCACATCTCCTTATCAATACGAATCAAATGTCTCTTGAATTATTCAAATCGCTTCATCTGTGATCCCGAAATCGTCGACAAAAATTTGTATCCGCACACACATACATACAAGCACACACACACATACATCCATTTTTTCTAAGGTATGCCAAAATGTTCAGAAGGTTTTAAAACGTAAAGATATACAAAAATTTTCATTTTCGATTTTTTTGCGATTACTATAACTTGTTAATTAATACCACGCATGTATGTCGAATCGTTCGTATCTCGAAGCAATTTTTCCCATATAAATACATTGAAATGACAATAATTCGTATCAGCACTGTGGTTTTAACTAAGTTTTTCGAATATTGAAAATAAATTTGATATTTATTAATATAATTATTGTCTCTCCTGTTCATTCATGATATTGCGAAAATTCTTTGGTTCCATGCTCAAACTGTTGCAAATTAAACTGCGTGATTTTTATCCACAAAATGTGCCAATTGCTTCGAGATACGAGTAATTTGACACACGAGCTTGGTTATTAAACTCGTATGTCGGAGTACCACTCTATATCGAATTTCCATCTGATATTTGCCTCGGAAGATTTCAGCATATCCATAAATTTTACCTTTCATTTAAAGATAAAACTACGATTTCAAATTTCAAAGGGTGATCCAACAACCAGCAAATGTATGGAAAAATAACATCTGATTACTATGATGTATTGCTCCATGAACATTTGCTGATGAGTAGTTCAATATGAAATACTTTACGGTGGTTAGTACCGTATTCTTTTTTTCTTATATCTAAAGCTCTATTTAGTACTTCCAATTGTTTCTCTTTTTGTCCAAGATTCCCATAAACGTCGCTCAAATTAATTAACGTTTCAATAATGTAATCAGGATACAGCTCTTGGATTTCTAGCATTCTGTTCAATAAATTTACTTGCTTTTCATAATTAAATATTGATGCATAAACCGTGTTTAACCGTTTCAACGCCAAGTACACATCATAATGTTTTTCGCCAAAACCATCAATCGTTATTTTCAATATTCTTTCAAATAATTTAATTTGCTTTTCAACATATAGATTACTTTTTTCGTAAAGTACAGACATGCTTTCTAAGACGGGTAACAATTCTACAGAACTTTCTCCAAACTCTTTCTCGTAAATATTCAAAACTCTATGCATTATTTTTTCACGTTCCGGATCATTTGTATCAAATGTATTTGCAATTTGTTGTAAAATTTCTGCCATTTCGCATGTATATTCCCTCTCGAAGTGCTTCATTAATTCACAACAACGTTCCAAAAGCTTTCTCTTATTTGGATTTTTACTATATTGTGAAAAGGCGTTCGATAAATCACTTAAAATCCATATATCTTCAGCGTCGTAATATAAAGGCATAGTTAAAATTCTATCTATAAGTTTGAGTAATTTTTCATGATTCTCAAATTGATGAAAAAAACAAAATTTGTCACCTATCCAAAGCAACAATTTATAGATATATTTTTGCTGTATTTGGCAGTTCTGTACAGATTCTTCAATGTGCTGAAGAAATACTTGGAGGTGCGAGCTAATCACATCTCCATCAAAAAGTTCGTCTAACGATATAGCAGCATTATTCGTACTTGAAAAATAATCGTGCAGCAAATTAAACATTTTATCGATAGTAACTTGAACACGTCGATCAATCTTTAAATTAATCCTGGTCACATCTTGAACCAATCTATGGACTTTAAATCTATCGCTTTTAGTTCCTGTATTTATCATAGAAAATTGTTTTAATAATTCCAATGCTGCAGCAAAATTCTGCAGTTCGACGTCCGACGACATTGATTTTGTGAAAATTGATGCAAAAATATCATCCGGACTAATATACGAACTCAATTCCAAAATTTCTGTAGATAATTTCCCATATAACTCATTCATTTTTAAAGCTTGCATAGTAATCCTCCACGTCGTGAAAACAGTTTCTTTGTATACATCCATGGTTTGTTCAAAAAAATTATAGTCTAACATTTGTTCCTTTTCGACTTTATATTTTGAGAGATAATCTTCTATGGTAAAATTACGACCAATATTTTCATATATTTTTCTCATTTCTTCAATATAAATTGTCGCTTGTTGTAATGCTAATGGAAGGTGCTGTAAAGTTTCAGACAATTCTATGATAGAATTATTTTCTACATCATTATCAATATGTAATACTTTCCTAATAAATTCTGCAGATTCAGCACTCGTAAACACATTCAGTGGGATAGTATCTATTTGCGCCCATTTCTGGAATCTAGAAGTTATTATAACAAATATCTTACCAATAAATTCTGCGGTCTGTGGTAAATATTCATCGAAATTTGCATCATCAGAATTCTGTGACCTCAATTTCTCAGCGTTATCAAATACAATTAAGCATTTCCTTGATGAAAGTTTCTTATATATGTCATTAACAATACTTTTGATGCTCAAACTTTTAATCCGCAGATCTTTATCTATAACATGTTTGAAGAGAACATCCCTAGCGAGCTCACGAAATTTTTCTGATAGTTGCTCGTTTGTTTGGGCCTTAATCCATATGACTGTGTCGTTATAATTTTCTTTATAAACGCTGATGTATTTTCTAGCTAATTCAGATTTACCTACGCCTCCCAAACCAGTTATCACGGTCATTTGTGATATCATGCTTACACCGTCGCCAGTTAAGGAAGAATGTAATTTATCTAAAACATCATCCCGACCGGTGTATGATAATGTTGGCGGCATTACATCAAAGAGAATCGGTTCTAAATCATTTTTAGAACAAGATATAAATAAATCACTTTCTATTATATCAGCAATTCTACCCACAGTATTATTTGTATCTGTAATAATATCATTTGATCTCAAAAGTTTATTAATCATATTGTCTTCAATATTTGAAACTTGATTCGATATGTCTGTTGATAAATTTTGTAAATTTTGTAATTGTTGATTTGTAGTTTCACTGATGGCATTAGCTTCATTTATTTTGGCAAGTGCTGCTTCACTATTCTGTGCTGTACGTAACAATTCCCTTTGATTAATATTTACTTGAGTAGATATTTCTTCTGACAATGACAATGCTTTCACTAATTTTTCAGAATGAAGATTTGCCATACTCCGCACTTCTTCCTTGATTTCTTCCGCCAAAATTTTTGTTTCATAAATATTTTCACAACTAAAATTAGTATCATTTTTAGTCAAATTTTCTAATGTCTTAGATAATAATTCTTGGATCATATCATGACTGAGTAAGTATTTGTAGTCTTCTGAAGGTCTAATACAGCCCTTAAAAGAATTCAAATTTTCCCATGAAAATAAAAGTCTATATCCATACGTTTTGCTTTTATCAAAATACCTCCGTATATAATACCTCTCAACTTCACCACTTGCACTTAACTGAACAACTCCTACTCCTTTATACATGTCAGATATTTTCCATTCGCAGCTATCATAATGCAACGTATGCCCGGGTTTCGGAAAATAACGTTCAATTTGGCTGGGCACATTTGGTATTTTATCTAAATTTAATGGACTAACAAGACAAGCACTCAACCCCTTTTTTGAATCTCCTAAAATGATACTTTGTGCAATAAAATCAGGGCATATGTCTATATCAGTATTATCCAGATTATTTTCCACCAATTTATGTAAATAATTTATAGAACGATCCATCGCTTCAATAGCAGACTTCTCCATTGCCCTCATCCAGCTACCATCCGCATCTAGGACTTTGCACAACTGGGCTTCGTAAGCAGCAAACACTTCTCCGGCTGCATATAGTAATATGCGTTTAAATTCAGCTTTCGCAATCAACGAAATGTGTTTTATCACATTTTTGGCTTTGCATCGGTGTCTCTTGCCGCAGAAAAAATTTCCTGTTTTTCCAATACCATCACCAATACCCTTTCCGGCTGATTTTGGAACAGCTTCGACTGCTGCTGTCATTAGTAAACCAACGCCCAGTCCAACTGGGTTAGCTGCAGATAATATCGTATCAGTTGTTTTACCTATTTTCGCCTTACCACCAACTGCCGCTTCTTTTTCGAATTCTGATATTTTAGTTTCATAGCTTTTGACAAATACTTTACAATATTTAACAAAACGTTCCTCCACTGTTCCCTGGCTGCTCTTAACATTATTCACAATATTATCATCACAAATAGTATCTTCAATGTGATTATTCTGGAATATTCAATGACAATTAAAAACTTCATAAAAAATACGTTTGAATTATGGTGTTATTAAAGTCTTTGCTTCGCATTGTTATTAATATCTTTTCGATATATTTAATTTCAATTAAAAATTTGAATTTAAACATCATTTTATAATATAAAGTTCATAGAATTTACCTGTTGGTTTTCCAGTCTTTCATCCATCGTTCTATAATTTTTATGTATTCAATATTTCTTCAAATTGAACATAAAAATTATTTGAAATTTATAATTCACGAACACATGAATGTAAAATATGTTTAACCTTTAATGGACATGTACGTGAATTTATTATTTATCACTATGCATATAGGAGATACTTATGGAACATAACTTTGGCTGAATGATTTAAAATAGACACAAACTAAAATCTTAATTCCACAGTCAACTTTTAATTTAATTTAATATCGACAACCGATAACACAAAGATCTCGTCCCACTCTAAAACAAAAAATATTTTTGCGGAACGTAACCCACAAAAAATCTAACACCAGTAAAAATGCCACGCCTGCCACAGTTTTTTATATTTGTATTCAAGTCTAGATAACTAAATGTGTCTGCGTTAAAATCTTCTCAACTCACAATGTCAAAACAAACGAAGAAGCAAGGTCAAACTGCTTAAAATTCAATTTTTAAATCTCTAAAAAGAAAGATTTTTGATATGAAGAATTTCATTTTCATGCTAATAATAATTACAGTTAATAAAAATTTTCGGGTAGTATATTTGAGACTAAACAGTATATGTCAGGGTACTACTATTTATTTATTGAATATACAGTAGTATCCCGAAATACGAGTTTAATTCGTTCAGCACTGTGATTTTAGGTAAAGTTTTTGAATATAAAAATAAATTTACTATTTATTAATTTAACTATTATTTTTCTGATGAGTTGGTCCCATGCTCGACCTGTTGCAACTTTTTCGGGGTGATTTTTACCTACAGAATATGTCTAATTGCTTCAAATATGAGTAATTTGACATGAAAGCTTGGTTACAGAACAAATCAATTTCGTATGTCGGGGTACCACTGTATCTCAATTTATCCATATATTATCCCTTTCATTTATAATTTCAAATTTTGTTTGAAGTGTGAAATTCTCCGAAAAAAAATTTAAAAATATTTTTTGCACAAAATTTGATCATTCTTTAGTCGTTTAAGTTACAGTATACATACGATAGGTATATACATATGTAAATACGTGTGAATATTCTCCTATATGTATATAAGTATATTCGTGACGTGTGATATATATATATATATATATATATATATATATAAATATATATATAAACAAGAGTCGGTCTCATCAAAGGCTTATCTTCAAGTTCATTACCGTTAATAACGCGATACGTAATTACTATAATATATATATAAACCCTAACAATATAAATAAAAACAATTTAAGCATAGAGTAGAAAAGAAGAGCGTAATGCCAATTTCAAACTTACCAAAGTAGATTTGTATATTATTTATTTTCCTAACTGAAAGTCCTATTAGCTATATCAGGTTGTCAAATCTTTTAAGTTGCTCTGAGCCATTGATACTAAAATTAATAAATTTATGCGTGTGTATATGGATATATATCATAGACCTTACATTACGTAGTGTAAGGTCTATGATATGTATATGTGTGCAAAGATAGTCTTATATTTTTGAAAACGCTTTCACGAAAATGGCTGCAAATACTAAAAAAAACTATGAATTGAGGAAACTAAATGATGACTTGCGTTTAATAACTGAGCCGTTTCCACTTACATAATTAACACCTGAGTAATTTCTTTTTACAAAAATTCCTGAACCTATTTTGACAAATACAAATATCATTCAAAGAATTTTAAATGGAATCGTACTGATTAGTTTCTTGTAAATATCAGTCAGTTTTTGGGTGTGTTGTAATTAGCAATCGAAAAAATTATTTAAAATTATTGCTATATAAAATAGCTAACACACACAATAGCATTCACAAGAAACAGTCAAACCCAGTCAAACCGATGTGGATCAGTAGAACGTCCTTTACAAAATATGAATATATAATGAAATTGATCACCATGAAATTCTTTGACACGTTATATGTTAATTGCTATGTTAGTTCAAAATACATATATTTAAAACCAGTTTAAATAATTAATAATTAGGTTAGTCAGTATTATTTGATAAATTTTGTACTAATTAAAATATATAGGTAATTCGTAGCTTCTTCCAAAGTTTGGTGATTTATTGTAAGAATTATTCGAAGTATTGTCCATTGTTAACTATTTACTTTTTAGCATAGTTCTGGTGAAGCCCAGATACCAAGTCGAAAAAAATCATCTCCTTTAGTTTCGATAAATAAATTTATGCAAGTTTTGGTCATCTCATATTTCTCGAAGTGTTACTCTGAAGCCATGCACCATGGATCTTCCAGAAGAATATTTACTTTGTAGTCCAGTTATTTAAGCTTAAATTAGGTAAGAATCTCGGAATTCGAATGTTATTAAGTATTGTTCGAAGTCATCTCATATTTCTCGAAGTCGTATTCTGATAAGCCATGCACCATGGATCTTCCAGAAGAATATTTACTTTGTAGTCCACTCATTTAAGCTTAAATTAGGCAAGAATCTCGGAATTCAAAAGTTAATAATTATTCGAAGTCATCTCATATTTCTGGAAGTGGTACTCTGATAAGCCATGCACCATGGATCTTCCAGAACAAAATTTACTTTGTAGTCCAATCATTTAAGCTTAAATTAGGTAAGAATCTCGGAACTCGAGATACCCAGTTGTAAGTCTGTAAATACTCTGTAAATACACCCTAAAAGTTGTCTCAAAACCTACATATGGTACGTACACCCTACCATATGTAGGTTTTGAGACAACTCTTAGGGTGTATTTACAGAGTATTTATGGACTTACAACTGGGTATCTCGAATTCCGAGGTGAACTTGTTATAATGACTGGACTATTGGTCTATGTGACTGCAAACAGTTATCTAACGCAGTATTTGGTAAAACGCTATGAATTAATTCCAACCTCCAATACCTAATAACATACATGCTATTTTATTCATTCTATTTTGTTTTGAACAGTTCGAAATCATTATTTTTGGTTTTAATCATCAAATGCGAAAAAATTGTTTGAAATATCATCGAATTGAAAATATATTGCAATATTTCAAAGACTTTGTACTAAACAACTAAACTTTGTTGTTTAAAACAATATAAAGTAAACATCAATACGTACGTTGTCAACATAAAATTCCTGGATGTCAAATTAATGACAATCATAGCATCTATTCAAATGATATCAATATTTTTAGTATTTACCCCTTTCTGGATGGCATCGAATGTAATAGTCCGCGATTGAATGATTCCATATTCCTCCTGCACAGTTGCCTTGACGGAAGCTCGCACCATTCCCTCGAGGCGATCTGCATTGTAATAGACCCAAGCACCAGCAGCAATCTCTGCTACCAGGATGATTAGCAAGCAGCAGAAGAACTATTGATAATGTCAATAAATCATTATGATGATGCTTTAAAAATAGTTATTTATGTAATTCTGATGAAAATATATGAACTAAATACATGTAAAAAATTCTTATGTAGTTTATATATGTAAACAAATATCCCAATTATAAAAAAAAATATTAAAAACTGGATTTGACCATTTCGTGACCAAAAATTTTGCGGATTTTTTTTTACATTTTTTTCTTACATTTCCTATTGAACCACGTAAAACCTTTCTGTATAAATAAAACTTATAGAAAACATTGAATATATTTGGAGCGAATTGCTGCTCCAATGTACAAAAAATGCAACAACGCACAAGCACAAAGCTGTTCGCTTCATACAGGGCAATAAAAAACATTTACCCAAAAATAATAGGTATAATTTTCAGTACAAGTTTAAGCGTCAATAAGAAAGTACCCGCGTAACTCGCGAAACCAGTTAAATAATAAAAAATAAATAATAATTAATTAAATGAATAAGTTAAGTTATGCACATGTAAATAATCATATAAATAATTTAGTGAAACAAATAAGTCAACAAGAGTTTCATTATAAACCCAATTTTACATTTATGGGAAATGGTCCCAGTATTACTGATTGTACATGAACAAAACCACAAAAGCATATGGATTTGATACCAAAGTCGCGCAAATACTAGTCTTTATTTCTATTTTTACACATCTCAGAAACAAATTGTGGATATTAAAATTGTAATTATACTAGGGGTACATAAAATTATATAGGACTTGGGATAACATATATGAGCAATTTTAATCCATTGTGGTAATTGTTGTCCCTTAAACATTCAGGAAGTACAGATGATGTTAAACAAATAGATAACATAATGAAGAAATAATAAAAAAAACAGAACTTACTATATCTTCTTTAGCATTTTTATAATTATAACCTATAGATATATGAGAAAGAAATGGTCTGTATAAAGGTGTGGCGTATAAGGCGTTCCTTCAATTTTCATTATATTGATGTTCGCTTAGAGTATACGAATATATTATAGATACATTTGGAATAAGTTGATATTTACTATACTTTCTAATGATAACAAATCAATAAAATCAAGTCTTAATAATTGGAGATATATTATAATGACAAAATTTTGAAAGAAAAAAGAATTTGAAAGCATTAACAATGTATCCGTTAAAATAAACTAATAAGTCATTTAAACCAATAATATAAAACACAATAACTGCATTAGAAAGCACTTATATTAGTTTTATAATTTTACCTTATTTGGCATTTGAAATATTATGGTTTCTAAATTTACTAGAGAGCTTTTTCTGTTGTTTCATTGATATAATTAGTAAATTGCCAGTCGTTTGCTAAACAATTCAATAATTGTTGTCGATAATTATTTTTGTGACTATTTTTTCTAGCAATTAATATGTTATATTACGATAGGCATGATAGCTATATAAAAGAAGATAGCTTCAACTGCACATATTGGTACCGCAAAAATGCACATAATTAAGAAGCAGAATAAACTTTTATAATATGTGCATAATTATACGATAAAGTGTTTTTCAACACTATACAATGATGTGCAAGTTACAAACCTTACAAAGAAGGTCACCATTTAGGAGCCAAATTTTTGATGAAATAGAAATGTTATGGCAATGCAATGTTATGGGTCTATCTTCGTATTAGTTGGTAGTAATAAACTGTCAAAAATATATGTATTTTCTGTGTGATCATGCTTTTTACGCATAAAACCTACGTATATTATAATTTTAAATAAAAGACAATTACATAGCCTTTATTGCAAGTCTCTAAATTTTTTTGGCAAAATGAATATTTTATATTAATGGTATCAATACTTAGAAAGATGCTTTTCTATGGGATCAAGTTGCAATAATGCAGTACTGGATTCTAATCGTTAAGAAAGAAATAACATATTTATTGATAACATTATTGGTTCTTTTTCACCTGAAGCAAAAATCTTGTATCAACATCATTCTCAATTTCAAACTGATTCGGGCATAATGCTGTTAAATTAAGAGATCCAATCCTGGCAGTAAGTGATATAAAAATTATTAATATGAAATATTCTCTGTAAATTTTATAATTGATTAAATATCATGACTGATGTAGCTAAATCAAGACAATTCTTTCCTCATTGCTATAGAAAAAAAGTTCCAGTTTATGCCTTGGCAGAGTAATCCCTCATTTTATATGCCCTTAGAATTATTATTAGACGAGTGTGCGTTTTGTAGGTTAGATTTTATGAGTAAAATGCCTGATCGCACAGCAAATACATAGCTTTTGACAGTTTGTCACTACTAACTTATGCAAAGATACATAGCATTACCATAACATTTCTATTTTATCGGAATATTGGCCTTAACTGAGAATAGTTGTATTCTCAGGTCAGTAGATTCAATAATAATATTAATAACAAGTAGGAAATTTTATATTAGATTAACTTGACTTGATTTTGAATGCATAATTCATCAATGTTTTAATACAACGTTTCTGGTAGAATTTTTTCTAGCTTCCAAGAAAATAACATAAGTAATCAGTGGCGTAACTAGACCCTCCGGGGCCCGTGGCAAAGTCTTCCGATGGGGCCCTATCGTGGTACTCAATTTTTAATTTATCTAATTTTGTTTAATAAACATTAATAATCATTTACACGCTGTTTTACTACTGGTTAAAACAATTTTTACTGAATTTTATCAAATTAGCAAACCAACTTGGACTAATTTATATTTTATGACTTTAAATTATGAAATATTAACACAGGTAGAAAAGTAAAGTATTGATTTAGAGTTATAATCATAATTTAATTGTAATTATATGAAAATAACAAAATACTAACACTTAATTTTTTTGAAAATCAAACATGAAATATTAGTGAATATTTTCAACGTACGAATAAGAATAGGGGAAATTAAATTAAACGTATTTTTAATGAAAATTAAAAATAGTATCACTTTCTTAAATTTAATTAATATATACCCTCCATTAACAATTTCTTTTTTTT